TCCACGATGTCCAGCTCCTGGATGATTTTCTCGTCGGGAGGGAGGGTAGCGTGTTCGCCGCGAGATGCTAGTAAATGAAAAAAATAAATTAAAAATTTATTTATTTATTTATTTTTTTTATTTAAAACGTCAGGACTCGGAAGAAGACGAAGAACACATTCGAAAGTCGTGCCACGGTTTTAGCCTCGCAGAGGAAACGAATTTTAGCTAGCTAGCTAGCTGGGTGTCGTCCCACCTAGTTTGTCATATTGAAGTATTATACTATATATAAGAAGTATTATTATGTTAGATATTTAGCTAGCTAGTTAGCTAGCTAGCTAGCTAGCTAGGGGTCGTCCCGCCTAGTTTATCATACTGAAGTATTATACTATATATAAGATGTAATATTACGTTGGATAGCTAGCTAGCTAGGGGTCATCCCCCTAGCTAGCTAGCTAGGGGTGCCACAGTTTTAGCCTCGCAAAGAAAACAAAATTATCTAAAGTTAGTAGAAGTATTATTACGTTAGATAACTAGCTAGCCGGCTAGCAAGACAGGATACTTGGTCTACGATACTAGGGGGAAACGACTACTTCTAGAATACTGCGATACTACAACTATGACAACACATTGATTTTTTTTTCTTCCGAAACAATTCAAACGAAGATAAAACCGCTAGCGTAGCGAACGCTAAAATATCGTGGTACGACATACAGTACAGTACAGTACAGATATTTTTCCATCCTACCCGTGTCATCAGACGCGTGGGGCGCAGCCCGGACCGGCGTCGTACTCTCCGAGGACAGCGAGCTAACCTTCCCGGACGCCGCTTTGTGGCTGCTGTCCTGCGAATTGGTGGGATCGGTGAAGGCTAGGTCCTGAGTGGAGTTGGAGTCGGAGAGCATCACCACCTCGCTGTCCCGACTCCGCTCTGCCGGGGGAAGGGGGGAGTGAGGAGAGAAAAAAAAAAAACAGACAAACAGAAGGTGGCGCTATTGCGTTGAAGTACGATCTGAAAAGTCTCATCGTTAGCTGCGGACTACGGCTACTCTCGATGCGAGATGTTCGTAAAGGACTTGTTCGTAAAGGATTTAGAAAAGAAAAAAAAAAAAAAAAAACAAAAAAAAAAAATGGGTATATGTGTTGAGGCATGAGGGGAAGGGGGGGTGAGGGAGCGGTGAGGGTGGGAGGGGGAGGGGGGGTCACTGACATATCGTGTTCGGGCTTTTTTAGCATCTCGGGCTCGTTGCGAGAAGATCCAAGACTACGCGGATGTGAATAGTTAAAGCTGCGATCGTATTTCTTGGGGTTTCCAAAAAAAGGTTGTGGGAAAAAAAAAAAAAAAAAAAAAAAAACCTGGAGGACTGAGAACCGTCACAGACATGTATACGGGTACAATCATGACTACGTTTTTTTTTTTTTTTTTTTTTTTTTTTTTTTTTTCTGTGTACTTTCTACTAGAATATTACTCCCCGGAAGTACTACGAAAAAAAAAAAAAAACTTCGTTTTGAAGATCAGTACCATTCAGGGATGCCAGCCACATTGAAGACCTGGGCAGGCAGTAATCATGGTCAAACTCTGGTGAGGCTGTTGGAGATACGTGAAGATTTCGTCAAAGTACAAGTTCACTTAAGTCTTAAAAACTTTAGAAGAAATTTTTTAAGAAGAATTTTTTTTTTTTTTTTTTGGAGTGATCGAAAGTACCGTGGGACAGAGAAAGAATTAGTTTTGGTAAAAAACCCCCACTTTTTTTTTTTTAGCGGTAGGTTGTAGGACCTGATTCAGATAGGGTTAGCGGGTTAGCGGTTTAGGCTAGCGGATTTCGGTGAATTTTTTAAATTGATCGGAGAGAGAAGGAAAATGTCAGGGTGCATTTTGGGTGGTAAAGGGGGGGGATGTAACGATGCGGTGAGAAATGGGTTGGGAAATCGGAAAAAAAAAAAATAATAAAATCGGTGAGAGTTCGTATTGGATGAAATTAAAAAAAATAAAAAAATAAAAAAATAATAATAATAAAAAAATGTATCGCTCATCAAGAGATAAAAATTGTGATACAAATTGTATCGGAAATTTTTTTTTTTTTTTTTTTTTTTTAATAGGTATACAGGTAAAAAAAAAAAAAAATCGGTGAGAATTCTCGTTGGATGAAAATAAAAAATAAATTAAAAAAATTAATCGCTCATCAAGATAAGAAAATTGGGATAAAATTTGTATCATGAAAAAAAAAATTAAAAATCAAAAAAAAAAAAAAATCGGTGAGAATTCTCGTTGGATGAAAATAAAAAATAAATTAAAAAAATTAATCGCTCATCAAGAGAAAAAAATCGGGATCAAATTGTATCGTGAAAAAATAAATAAATTAAAAATAAAATTTAAAAAAAATCGGTGAGATCTCGTTGGATGAATTTAAAAAAAAATTAAAAATAAAAAATAAAAATAATAATAGGTGAGAATTCTGATTGGATGAAACTAAAAAAAAAAAAAAAAAAATTAAAAATTAAAAGTAAAATAAAATAAAAATCGGGAATTCTCATTGGATGAAAATAATAAAAAAAAAAACAAAAAAAAAATTTTAAAAAAATTAATCGCTCATCAAGAGAAAAAAATCGGGATCAAATTGTATCGTGAAAAAATAAATAAATTAAAAATAAAATTTAAAAAAAATCGGTGAGATCTCGTTGGATGAATTTAAAAAAAAAATAAAAAAAAAAAAAAAAAAAAAAAAAAGGGGAGAATTTTGATTGGATGAAAATAAAAAAAAAAAAAAAAAATTAAAAATTAAAAGTAAAATAAAATAAAAATCGGGAATTCTCATTGGATGAAAATAATAAAAAAAAAAAACAAAAAAAAAATTTTAAAAAAATTAATCGCTCATCAAGAGAAAAAAACCCTGATACCATTTATATCATAAAAAAAAAAAAAAAAAAATTTTTAAAATCATGCCTTCATCGTTACATCCCCGCGTCTCGGAGCGCGTCGAGAAAAAAAAAAAAATTTTTTTTTCCTCTCGTTCTGAATCTGGTCCTACAGTCTCACCCTGAAGTGCTTCAAGCAGGACCCCAAGCCAGAGATTAGACAACAACAACAAGCATGGTGAGAGATCGGGATCTACCGTTAGCCTCGGAAGAACCCCGTCGTCATGGTTACGCTCTTTCTCGCAATTTTTTTTTTTTTTGAAATCTTAAGGAAAGAGGCAACACACGATTCACAAAATCTGCGATCAAATTTAGCAGCACCAGGCAATTTTAGGTTGGTTGTCGATCGCGATCGTGATCGCGATCGCGACTCAGAAGGACATGCGCTCGAATGGCGAAAAAAGCAGATGTGTTAAAGCAAGGCAGCAGAGAGGTAAAGCAGGCAGGAAGGTAGACCGGTGAGGAACCCGGCAACAGGTCGGGCAACGCGGGGGTCGGCAACATGGCTGCGTTATTTTGCCCGGGTCGGGGATGTGTGAGTATCGTACGGGAGCGTCTTGAAAAAAAAAAAAAAAAAAAAAACTCTGTAATCCAA